AAACACCAACAAATGCTTGACTGCAACTCAAAGTGGGATAAAGTGCCGGTGTGTGACGGTGCACGTGACTTGGGTACAGAGTGGCAAGAAGTAGAGCGTTGCTGCATTTTGCTCTTGAATAACTGCAGCTTAAAGACTAATTTATGCTACATGCATATTCTGTTTTAATTTATTTATTCTCACTTTGTTGTTGAACAACAACGGCGACCACAAACAGTGAATAAGTAATTTAATCTTAGCAGCGCTTAATTCAAATATGGTTTTTCTATGTATATGTAAAATTAATGTACAAAGATTTTCGTCGTTAACAGCTTTTAGCCGGCACTGAAGTAGAAAATTTCAAGCGGCCGCATTTGCTCCGTCCCATTTTTTTGATTATTCTCTCAATAAAGTGGCTTTGTTCGCGGTTCTTTAGTTCGTTGCTGCTTTTTTATTCCGTGCGCCATATTTTCTCCATCCATCCGTATTGCCTCCTCAGTTCGCTCCACAAACTATTGTTGTCTCATAATTAAATTAGCATAAAGTAGATATGTTTATGCTAAACAACTTTGTTCACTTGACGCTCATACGCCCCGGTGCACCGTCACCAAAAACAAAGCGTGAAATTTCTGGTTTTACACTAGGGCCATCCAGGCGGCTTGCCATCCTATAAAATTACACTTGTAAATTTAAATGTCATATGGTATACAGCCTTACATATATGTATATGTGTATATATTTATGTATGTCTTATATTTGCATGCCTTCTCTGTGTGTGTGTTCTTCCTTTACTTACTACATAGTTGAGTTGGGAGAGAAAGAGCTTAAAAGTTTAAATACCAACGTTTGCCACTTAATCCAAGTGTGGGCTGCTGTGGTAATTGTGCGTCGCGTGAAGTGTTGGCCACTTGTATGCGCTGGCGTCCTTGTTGTGGTTTTCTACTTCGCATATATGTATGTATGTACAAAAGCGAGTAGTTGGCATCTGATAGCTGCTACTTGATAGCTGAGTTTTTGTTAGTGGCACTCATATTTGTTAGTGTGCACTTACTACTATATCCACTTACTTACTTGGTTGGAGTATTCAATTGTGGCCTCATGTTTGTAGAAAAAATGCGTTAATTAATTTAGTGTGCGTAATTTTATGAATTTGATATGCAATTTTTTATGCGAAAGAAGTTAAATGATTTAATAAAAATGTGGATGCACTAAGAACAATTTTTATTTACTATTTAGATTAAAATTGTTAAATTCTTCTCTTTTAATTTTGATATCTACTAATCTTTTATTTATCTCCCATGCCTTCCTTGTTCTGCCACTTAATCGTTTCCTATGAATTTCAGTCCAACGAGTGCTAAGTTGTTTTACTTCGAAAAGTGATAACTAATAATAATCCTCGCACTCACCATCTTTGTAAGAGGAAAATGGTTTTACAAGAAACCTTTTCAAGGCATAAATTCCCTCGTAGGTTTGCCAATGCCTGCCGAGGGTCATCAGCTGTTGAAGAAAACTTTTTCTAAGGCAGATATTGCCAAGTACGTACCTCCTATTTTCCAGCCAAAGCGGCTATGATAACTACAAGCTCGAAAAACTTATCAACAATATAAAGCCTAGGGTATTTCAAAAGTCTGAAACCGAAAACAGAGACCGAAATAAAACTTATTTTGAAATTTTGAAATCAAAAAGACATATCGAAAAATTCTTTACCACTTTTTCAATTATAAACGCGAGACAAACGGGCACGCTTATGCAGATTAACTAGTACACAAATGCGCAAAATAATTTTGCCCTGGAAGACAGCCAGTCGAACTTTCATTTATTTCTTTTTTATTAGTTCTATATTTTTTTAATGTTGTTTCATTTAGTTTTTCGTTGACTTTTTTAATTAAATTTAAATCTAAAAAATTTAATTAACTAATAGTAAAATAAAAACTGTGATATAAAATAAACAAATGAAAATAAAATGAAGTAAGGTATATACATAAATAAAATATAAAAAAGTAAAATAAATAATTAAAACAAAAAAATTAATTGGCAACCGCTCCAACCGAGGATCGAACCTGGCACCTATGGACTTGTAGCACGCAACTCTCACCATTCGGTTACCGCGGACGCCAAACTAGCTTGCTTTGTTTGCCTACTTGTACAAAAAACAACAGCTGGCCGTTTTTACCAGTGTTGTCATCGAAAATTCTCCGGATCCGAGCTAATTCCTAAAAATTTCGTGCACCATTTTTTATTTGTATTGTTGGGTATTATTTTTTGTTATTATAAAGGACTATAGATATGTACTCCAAATTTTTCGTGTTACGTTTTTGGGAACTTAAAGGATTTTTAAGGATCTTCGGAACAACTTCGAGATTTTAGCATTATCAGGACTGCTTCGGGGTTCTCGGGACTTTTCCAAGATTTCTTGAGATTACTGAGACTATTTCTGTACTACATAGGTATTGGTTTGGGAGTTTGGAAGAATTTCGGAATTTTCGGAACTATTTCGGAACTTTAGGGGTTTTTTATGGATTTTTAAGACTCTTTCGGAACTTGCGGCATTTTTTTTTGGTTTTCGGAAATATTTTGGGACTCTTTTTGGTGATTTTTGAGAATATTTAAGGATTTACGTCTTAAGTAAATATTTCTTTTTTTTACTACAAAATGCATACAGACTACGATAAGAAGGTAAAAAATTTTAATAACATTTTCTGTTTTAAATTGGAGTTCTGTGGGACCATGAGTGAACCTAGAGTTATTAGAGCTTCTGTTTACGCTTCTAATCGGAAGTAGTTACACTGGCAGGTGGCTAGTCTTCCATCTCTTTAACTGCGCGCACTTCTGTCCGAAAATTACTGTAAAAATCCAGGGGCCTAAACATAAGACTTAAAGAGACTATCTGACAGATCCGATCTTCTAAAGCTCTGCTGTCCAACTTCGACACATCCGTTATTATAAAAATGCACCTTTTAGCATGATGTATTTAGAGAAGAGTACTTTTGGAGCCCATTTAGATATGCACCGATCCTTTTGATCAAGTATCACTTTGAAGTTTCTAAAAATTTCCGAATCTAGGAAATCGCTTTACATACTCTAAATTGTATCTAAAAGGTACAGGCTTTATACAAGCTAACAAAAATCATGATTAAATATTTAGTATTTCACCTTTCTTAGCATCTTTTATTTTTATTTTACTTCCCCACAACTAATGTTTTTCCTATCACTTTGGCACACTGGCCAGCTGTAGTAAACAGCTGAGTTAGCTAGCAGCATAAGTCTCAGATCAACCTTTCACTTTTTTT